TTAAACAACACGTATGGCATAGACAATTTTATAAGTAAACCCACCTGGATAGCTCGGTAGAAAATTGCACACAAGAGCAAGTACGTAGGATGAAGCTCGACTCCTCAAACATCTACATTTAAGCGAGATAATATATCAATAGTCTATCTCACTACTCGAATTTAACATAAAATCCATACTTAATAAAAATTAAGACTTAAGGGTTTTAATTAGATTTTTCGTGGACTTGGAACTCTCTCATTTTTGAAAAATAAGACTCGGAGAGTAAAATTTGGAGTCTCGGGACTTAAAATAATTTTTCCCAAAATTTTATTATTTTAAAGATATTTTTAAATTGAAATCGGTACGAAAAACAGACTCCAGAACACAAAAATAGGCCAAAAGGCAAATTTGGGCCGAGCTGCCAAGTAATTGGATAAATTGGGCCACAATTCTGGCCCAATAATAAGGGCTGAAGTGGAGGGCTGGACACTGGGCTTGCAGGCTGCAGCTGCTGAGAGGTTGCGGGCTGGAACGGGCCGATCGGCCCACGAGCCTGGGGCTGCTGACTAATAAATAAACAAAAAGGGAAGGCTGATTCAAATCGGTACGAAAAATAATTTTTCCTAAAATTTTATTATTTTAAAGATATTTTTAAATTGAAATCGGTACGAAAAATGGATTCCGAAACACAAAAATAGGCCAAAAGGCACATTTGGGCCGAGCTGCCAAGGAAGTGGATAAATTGGGCCACAATTCTGGCCCAATAATAAGGGCTGAAGTGGACGCGGGCTGGACACTGGGCTTGCGGGCTGCAGCTGCTGAGAGGTTGCGGGCTGGAACGGGCCGATCGGCCCGCGAGCCTGGGGCTGCTGACTAATAAATAAACAAAAAGGGAAGGCTAATTGCAAGGGGCTGGGATCGAACCCACACCCTCGCACACGGAAAAGAGGTAGCGCACCACTGTACTACTCGTCGGCTTGTAATTTACAAGAAAATCTTTATTCTTATAAATAATAGGAACGTCTACAGATAATAGCAAACAAAATCGAGCAGACTGCGAACTGAACACAGAGACACAGAACAGAAATTCTCCTCGACCAAAGCTCTAAGAATTCCAAAAATTAGAAAAATACCCATAACTTTCAGAGTTCAAAAATTTTACGAACGAAATGACAATTTATATGGCCCGAACGGAAATATACGAACACCCAAGGACACCACGACGGTCCGGCTAAGAACATAACGAGGCTCGAAACATGCGAATGACCAAAACATCGACAGTTCCCCATCAATTGATTAAACAACAGCAACAAAGTTAAATTTTTAAATCGAGAGTTCCGACTAATCCACGATAAATCTCCCAATTTATAGATAATATGAGTCGATTAATAAGTCGAACAATCAACAAGAAATCCATTCAAATAGCACGAGTAGAATCCAACGAGTAAACATAAGCATGAATATATCGAGAAGGTTTC